CCTTTGATTACCAGGGATGAGAGTGGTGAAAAAAATCTGAAAATCAGCCGGGGGTCTGGGGGCCGCAGGGTCCATGGGGCAACGCCCCGGATGGGGGCCCAGGGGGCAAAGCCCCCGGAAGCTAATGGGTTTTAGAGATTTTAAAGCCTTAAAACCATTAATTTTATCAACAAAATTGAACATTTTTGTTGAAATACCATCCTCTATTTCAGTGGTGGGCAAACTACAGCCCGCGGGCCAGATCCGGCCCGTTGGTCTATTTAATCCGGCCCGCCGAATGTTGGTACACAATTAAGGTTCACTGTGAATGATTGCATTCATTTCATTTGTGCCAGCGCCAACTCAAGCAACTCCTGGTCGACGTTGTTGTCTACGCACTATAAAATGGCAGCATCTTACCAGGACTCTTCTGCGACGTCTGAACTTGTTTTAAAGTATTTGGAACGTTTTAATCAATGTGTTGCTTTAACAAAAGTAATACAGGGATGAGAATTTTCCGCTTTTTGGCGGGATTCCGCTTTTTTTCCAGTCAAAATGGACCTTTTTTATATTGTTCCAAATCCGTTGAGAAAATTTTAGGGGGTATGGGGGTAGGGTCTGGTGTTATTTCTGGGCTGCCGGACTTACTTGTCTTCGGCAGACAAAGGACTCGTAATGTTTACAAATAAAGTTTGCAAGCATCCATTTTGAATAACGTTTTTTCTCGCGAAGCGTTAGTTTGTCGTTACTTCGTATATGGGCTAAAACCAATGTCTTCCTTGTTTTGATTGGTCGCTAAATCGGCAAATGCAGAATCACAACCAATCCGTGTTCGCCTTCCTAAACCCTTTTGCCGCGAATTCAGAATGGTTTTGCACGACGGATGTAGTTTATTGAAATTACTCGTGTATGTAGTCTGTATTAAACAAAATGCCAAATGTTATCGAGACTCGTGACAAAGCTAAAGTGCGTCAGATAGATGCGGATCTGAAAAACAAGTTTCAATGGGACTGGTTGGATAGAAAGCTGACAGTGTCCCCAGTAGGAACCAGTAAAGAGGAACCATTGTCTGTGCTTGTGTCGGATTTCGTGAAAAAGCTCGATGTCACTGGTAAAGCTCTGTGTACAGTGTGTGACGATATCATTCTATACGGATCGAGAGAATGCGAAAGCTTTACAGCACAGGTGTCGAACTCTGGCCCTGGAGGGCCGTTGTCCTTCATGTTTTCAAAGTCTCCCAGTTGCAACACACCTGATTCAAATGATCAGAACATCAGCAAGCTCTGCGGAAGCCTGACATTGAACCTGTTCATTTGAATCAGGTGTGTTGCAACAGGGAGACTTGGAAAACATCCAGGACAGCGGCCCTCCAGGACCTGAGTTTGAGACCCCTGGTTTAGAAAAATCTGGTTGCACGAACAGTAGTACTGATTGCCCATCTTAACAGTATCCAGTATACCTGAACAGCTGAAATGCATGTCAGAAGTCGAAATCCCAAATGGTCCAACCCTATTATTTTCCCTCATATAACCTTCAATGATCAGACATGTTTTATAATTACAAATATGAAACTGATATGGCAATTAGGGAATAGCAGACAGTGACTTAGTTTTCTCCTCAGTCTCTTTTGCAAGTTCTTGGCAATCAATTTTCTTCTGTTTTGCTGTGTGTCTTAATGCATTTGACTTGACCAGGAGGCTATGACAAGTTTTACCTCTCACGGCAGTAGGCCGACGTATAATCGGCAGCAATTTTTCCAACCCAATCACGGAACTCCGGCTTCTCCAGCCACACCACTTGAAAATAGCATTGTCCCGGAATATTTGTAGCGACGCCACTCGAGCGAAGCGCGCCTCAGCAGTCGGAAAGTCCGCTGCTCTCTGCTGTGTGTGCATCCGCGCTAACATGTACACACGCGCACGTCTTTTGGTTTCAATCAATCAGCGCCGACGCAACCGACGTCACCAATCAAATACGCTTTGATCTACGGCAACAAAAAGCTAGCCTAGCCGAGACAACAGCTAAGCTTAGCTGACGCACACACAGCAGAGAGCAGCGGACTATCCGACTGCTGAAGCGCGCTTCGCTCGAGAGGCGTCGCTACAGCGCTAATGAGCTAATGAGCGCTCCAGTTAGCGTAAGGTTTTTAGCCTTCGACAGCTAACTATGGCCATCGAGGACTACGAAGCGTCCCGTGGCTCGACGGACATTCAAATAAACGAACGTTTCCTCGAATGCTTTACTTGTTATCATGCTAAAAACAGCCACGGACTAATTAGCGCTCCAGTTAGCGTAAGGTTTTTAGCCTTCGAGAGCTAACTATGGCCATTGAAGCGTCCTGTGACTGGCTTAAAAATTCATTGCATGCCAGGAAGTATTTGTTATTGTTAGATTCAGACGAGGATGGACGTTGCATTGCTAAAATGGCTACAAAACGGACATTTGGGTGTCAAGCAGCTAAGACAAGAAGAGCTCTGATGCTGGAAGAGAGGGTAAAAGTGATCAAAATGAAAGATGGAGCAA